TATATATATATATATATATATATATATATATATATATATATACATATCTCATACTTATATATAGCGGGTTGGGTTGGGTTGGGTTAGGTCAAGTTGACCCCAGCCTAGACCCAATCAAACTTGTTACGGTTCAAGCTTGACCTTGAATCGAACCTACCTAGCTAGGGTCAAGGTCAAGTGGACTCAAACTGGGATGCAGTCTGTTCGATTTGTTGAGTCAGCAGTTTATCTATTTCCTACCTGTTTAAACGTGAAATCTGGGATAAAACAGGTTAATCAAAGTCTTTTCCATCCAGATTCATGTCTAAACTAAGTTCTTTAATGCCAATAGCGATCTAGCGTGTTGCCGAATTACAGTTTATGGGAAATCAATCCTGAGAGATCCTTTTCTCACAAATTGTCGGCTGAGCCAACTTAGAGCCGCATAAAAACCCAAAGAAACCTTTTAAGAGAACTTGTGAAAACAAGAGGAAGAGTTTAAAAGACCTTTCAGTAAAATAACAATGATAATGAAGAAAATAAACAATAAATACAACAAAGCACAGGGGGATACTTGGGAAGCTAGGCCTCTAGGCCCGACACCTAGAGTTGGGGCCTGATGCAGACGAAGATGTGTAAGTCATTATCCTCGATCTTCAAGTTATGTTGATCCAAAGGTTTCTTAAATACTCTTGAGGATTTTTGCCTATGGATTTCCTTCTTGAGCTTTGGTTGCGCTAATAGGGATGTCCATCTTCCAGGGTTCAGATGGTTTTGGGTAAAGTTAACTGATCTTGGGTTCCAGGGTTCGGATATTTGTAGAGAAATTAGGGTTCTGATGTCCTAGGGGTTTTTAGGGTTTAGCAGAAAGAGCTGAGAGGCTAGGGTTAGGTTTCGATCTTCAAAAGCTCTTTTGGCAACCAAAATGTTCTATTTATAGTCAAAGTATCTAGAAATCACATAACCGATATCCTCCTGTTAGTATGGACTGTTAGATGCTCAACAACACAGGGCGCATTGCTGGATAGTGACACAGACCGTGTTGCTGGACCCTTTCCAGTTCAACATCCTGCAAAAATCTCCACAGCTTCTAAATTTGCAATATTTTAGTTAATTCCTACTCTGTGAGTACTCCAACTCAGTTTTTTTGAATATTTTCTTTCGTTTTGTTTATTGGGTAAGTAATATTTTCTTTCGTTTTACACTGAGTTGGAGTACTCACAGAGTAGGAAGTAACTAAAATATTGCAAATTTAGAAGCTGTGGAGATTTTTGCAGGATGTTGAACTGAAAAGGGTCCAGCAACACGGTCTGTGTCACTATCCAGCAATGCGCCCTGCCTATTATGGAGGTGAGTCACCTAAAATGGGTTCTATAGAATTTTTCGGGAATATCCGATGGTTGGACCATGGTTCAGGTCTGGGTTACAGTTCAGTGTGTCCTATGGATCGCTGAACTAGTGTGTGAGGTTTAGGGACTCAGAAATGAAGCCAATTTCAGTGGGGTTTCTACAGTTGCTTTCCTTGGTGCTCCCTGTTCTTTGAGGAACATATAAGTGTCAAAGAAGTAGACACCTGTGACAGATGGAAACTTTAATCCCTAGAATCAAATGGTCAAAACGGCCCGCCCATCAGGGCTCGTCGAGACGTCAACCGCCATCCTACTCAGTTTGCATTGGGGTTTTTCGACTAGAGCATTTTTCAGATGTTGTTGTTTGAAGACGTACTGGGCTTCTGCCTGGGTCCCGCCATGCCTTTGGTTCTAGTTTTTAAAGTTGAATTTGAACATGGAACTGAATTTAGCTTTTATTTTGGGGTTTCTTATCCCTTTGGTTTCTAAGTTTTTTCCTTTAAAGGTTTCGAGGTTAATCCACCGTAGCGATTGGATTTTGCTAAGGATTTCTAAGGATGCTTGACATCAAGGCTTTAACTTGTTTCCTAGGATGCTTGACAGGTAGTTTTAAGGTTTTTCACTTTGTAGTTAAAGCCTGAATGGATTAATTAATTTTCATGAGCTATGCTTGGCCTTTTTCTGGGACTTTCGAGACTAGGAGTGATCAAGTCTTCTTCTTGCCTTCAAATCTTAGTCCTTGTGTTGCAATCCAAAGAGCAGTTCTTTGAGGTTTTCAAGCGAACCATATATTGGAAATGCAGGATACCGCCGTAGAACTCACGGTCTCTTCTGACTTCCAATTTCGTTTCTTTATGAACGAACAACTCTCAAGTTTGGATGGTCAAGGTCCTTCAGGTTTACTTGGAGAGATCCTTCACTGTGATATGTCAGGCTAATGCCCTTTGATTGCTTTTCAATCACTGGACCCACTAGGGCTTTAGAGATTGTGGGTGTCTTTTACAATCTTCTTCAGGTTTACTTGGAGAGATCTTTAACTGTGATCTGTCAGGTTAATGCCCTTTGGTTGCTTTTCAGTCACTGGATCCACTAGGGCTTTAGAGATTGTGGGTGTCTTTTACAATCTTCTTTAGGATGATAGAGAAAATAGGGGAAAGTCTTATACTTTCCCTCATCCTATTGCTTTCTTCAGTTTGGGAATGGTAAAACTAGGGAAAGTCGAATCTCATTTTTTCCCCATTGTACTATTCCCTTGAGTAAAGTTGCAGCCCATGGGACCCCCTGTGCTACAACTTTCAGGAAAATTGACCAACCCATTCCTTACCGTCACTTCTCTGCAAACCATTCTTACTCGCTCCACTCTCCCTCCCAGCCCATCTCCATCACGAAGATGATAGGTATGTGGACTGTATGTGAGAGAGAGAGAGAGAGAGAGAGAGAGAGAGATGCCATTAATGCTACAAAGGCCCAACCTTCACTCTCTCTAAAAACAAGCAAAGTACTGTTCCTCACTTGCAAGTTCCTGGTCTCTCTGTTTAATCTCTCTCATCTTTGCATACATAATTTTCAGAGCTTGTATGCTCTGATATATAAGTAATTTCTTGTGGTTATGGATGAATTAGGGTTTGAAATATGGAAAATAGGGCCTAGTGGCCACAAAGCTACTGGATTTTGGGAATTCCAGGGTCTTAAGTTTTAAGAACATAGGGCATGATTTGTGGATAAGGTTTTTAATGTTTTTGAGAGTTTTATTTTTTCAGTGATTTCACTGTGGTGTTTTTTTCATAAACCTCTGGGTGATTTTAGAGCTTCTGATTTCAGGGCTTGCATTGTGATAATTCTATTTGAAAGGTATTGCATTTCAGGATGAACTAGGATTCAATGGTTGTAAAGATTTCCTGTTTTTCCCCCTTGAATTTTCAGGAAAAAAGTTGATATTGCTACAAAAAAAAAAAATCATATGATTCAAGTTCCTTGCTGCAATTTATATTTTTAGATCTTCTGAGACTCTGGATTTTCATTTTTATTGCTCTATTTTGTAGATGTAAGTTTTTCTATCCATGCTTTCATTAAAGCCACTCAATTTATGGGTGGAGATACTATATATATTTGTTGTTTGATTTATTGGGGCTTGATGATTGAATGCTTTTGTGCCATATATGCTATTCTGAGGCAATTGAAAACATGCTGAAAACAAGCTCTTTTTTATGAAGCTCCTTCTCTAGTTGCCCATTGAAATATTTGAAGCTCACTTTTTTTGTGTTTGCTAGAGTTATTATGAGTTTGTTTAGGGGTCTCACTTCTTACAAGGGAAATCCTGAAAGCTTTTATTTTGATGCTTTATCTCTTTACTCTCCTTATGATTTGGGGTTAATTTATAACTTTTTTTGGCATTTTTTATGTTTTTTTTGGATTTTGTATGGCATCAAAGATTTGTTCTTAGGACTTTAAGATATCTATGGTAAGTATTTTTTCATACATGTCTTTAATTTTGGGAAATTATCAAAATAAGTCTTCGAGATGAATGGTTTAGCATTGGTTGTCTCAAACTAACTTCCTCTCAACTACAAGAATGTTAAGCGACCATAAAAATAAAAATTTGAGTCTTTGGGTTGAGACAAGAAGTTTCTAGCCTTCCCAATACCAAATAGGTGAAAATACTAGTACCACAAGTTATCAAACAGTATTCCCAGCTTTCAGTCTAGCAATCTTCACTTTCCTCCCAGAATTCAAGAAAGTCAGCCACTGGGATTTTCCCAGGGAAACCTTAGAGAGTTATCAAACGTGCCCCTAATTCTATTGAGGGTGCGGTTTCTATAGAGCCGAGGCTCTAAACAATCAAAGTAATGTGCACTTTCAAATAGTGTCGAGAAATGTGATTTCAATACTGGAAATCTTTGTGATAGCCTTAAAATATATTTTCATCTCTAATTATAAAATTTAAGCTTCAAAAATAGTGTAGATCGAGTAGATCTATGAAAACTTGAAAATCTTGAAAATTGACTGTCCAAAAAAGCATTACAAGATGCACTATTTCCAAACTTGAAATCCATTTTTTTACTCATGTCCATGCATCTTGAGGTCGAGATGATGAATTTGAGGATATTTGGGCATCAAAACTACCTCTTCTAGTGAAATTTTTGATGTGCGCCCTAATTTTATTGTTTAGAGCCTTGCACTTATATAAACTTTTTCCTTCTATTAAACCCCCCATGGCTATCATATATCTTTTCCATTTAAAAGAATGGATTATATATCGTAAGTGCATTCACTTTTGGTACAAGGAGGTCAATCATTCTTAGCCATTGGATGTGAAATTAGATGGATTAGATTGTCATAATTTTTGAAAATTTTTATTTTGGACTTTATGCCAAATGAATAATATGTCCCTACTTGATTTCACATCCAACGATTAATAATGATTGTGACCTCCTGGTATCAAAAGTAAATGATATATATATTTTTTTGAGAGGCTTTAACCGTTTTTTTTGTTTGGGGTCATTCAGTGGGGAACACATGCCCCTACCTGTTTTTTCAAATAGTTTACGAGTTAGTCTTTTGAAGGTATTACTGGGGTGATGTCAGTGCAGTGAGAATGGAAACCACAACGTGGTGACTTGGGTATGGGGTTGCTACCACTACAACCCCAACCCTTTTCCTGTAAATGATATTATTGTATACATTTCCTTAAAAGAAAAATAACCTGTTATGGCAAAAAAAATCTGTTTAGTTATTTAAAGGGAAAAAAGCAGTTTTAGTAAAAATTCACTTGCACTCTCTTTATACCTAGAGAGAAATGACATTCCAAGATTGAACAAGAATTGTCTAATTTTTGGAAGGAAAGATATTGATGTTCCAAAACTCGAAATCCAACATTTTTATCCATAAATATAATCATATAGTGATACTGAACATAATGCTGGATTATTTAATCGTCCCATGTAGCTACTTTGCCTGAGAGAGTTGTTGTATGTTGTTATGCTCTTGTTGGAGTGGGGACAGTACACAAGCTCAAAAGAAAGCTAACAAATTGAGTGAAACACCCATGCCTCATGAATCTATATTTCTTTGGAACCTGGAAATGTGTTTCCATCTTTACATATTTGCCCTCCAACAAATAACTAATTACTGAACGCTTTGGTTACTGTGATTCTGTAACATACAACAATAACCAATCCATAGCTTTTAGATGGATGCTCTTCTTTATGAATTCTCTTTAAATAGCTTTTAAGGGCACTCTTTACATTTTGGGGATTTTATTTACTTGCCTTAGATGGTGGGTTCCTAACCTTAACTTCCCAAGGTACCTAGTCCTATGAGTTTATTACTTCGACATGATTATTGGGATCTTCCTTTTAAGTGTGCGATGCTAATTGGGTTGGCTCGGTGGTTATCAGGATCTTCCATTTTAGGTGTAGGGTTACTAATTAGGTTGGGTCGACTTGAGTCTTGATTTTCATGTTGACTAGACTTTGTTGGTTCTTATACAACAAAATAGATCTGATGCTGGTCTCACTTGACCTGACTCTTTTTGTGTGTGTGGAGGGCAAGTGTGTACTCACCTTCGGGTCCGGTCTTGGACTTGACAGATAACAAGTCCGTGTCATGGTGAAACTGACCTGTTTCCGGCCTTGCCCTAATGAGGTGGCCTTCCTACTTCTGGAATGCTTGGAACATTGCTCTATTGTTCAGTAGTAGGAACACATACCCACAATTCCCAAACTATTGGGAACGTTCTCTCCATTAATATTTAGGGCCCCCTTCTCTCCTTTTAAGCATCATCGTGAACTTGTAAAATGCATTTACAAGATAAAACTTGGATTTTGAAGAAAGGCAATATTTTCATACTAGAGCTAATTTGGAGAACATCAACATCAGATCGCTTCAATTATTTTTCCTTTTAGATTTATCTTATTTTTTAAGTAAATAATTCATTATTTATGGTATGAATTATTCACATTCCCCACTTCTGCTTCCAATCGTGCTACTGTTCCCAGCAGCTATTCTTCTAGAACTCCAACATGCATGTCAGAGAGGGAGAGGGAAAGGTTTAAAGTGGGTCATGATGCAGGCCTATGGACGCAATCAAGGGCAACCCACGAGCCTCCAAAATATGTACCCTAACCCACCTAGCCTGCACTACCTGGTCCAACTTGTGTAGCCTCTTGTACCCGATTGTGGTCCCATTAGCCAGAACCCAACTCTTCCCTCCCCACCTCGCGTAAACCTCATATCTCTTAACCCTTTGTCCTAACCCAACTGCCTCTTGTATCCTCACCACATTAAATCTGAACCCTTCCTTTCCTCCCTTAAGCTCAATCCAATGTCCCTCAGCCGTCGGTCTCTTTGATCCATCAGGTGCCCAATAAGACCAAATGTCATCATCTAACACATTGTAAGGCTCGAACCCGCCTTGTTTGCCTCCTCTTTGGCTACTGGCCTTGATATTGGCCTGTTGGGCTAAGTTCTGTTGGAAAATGGTTTTGATAGCGTATTTGAGTTGGGCTAGGGTTTGGATATCTGGCTCGGATATGAGTCCACTTGAATTTGGTGGCACATTTAGTAGCATTACGCAGTTTCGACCAACCGATTTGTAGTAGATGTCAAGAAGCTGATTTAAGGGCTTTGGGCCCTGTGATTTATGCCAAAACCACCCTTTTCTTAGTGAGACATCACATTCGGGGGGCACCCAGTTGTGTCCATGGGGGTCTCCGGAATTTAGATACCTGCATAAAATTGGTGGCTACGTTTAGTGACAAAAGGTAGGCTACCCATCATAAAACAGTAGTATTTAGGTTTCTTTTAAATTTATTTTAATTATTAGCTTGGGACTGTGGTAGGAATGGAACTTTAGATGTCATCTTGTAGCATCTTGCCAACCAAAACGCCAAGGCCTTGAGGCCATTCTTTACTAAAGTGTAGTAAATGGTGGGTGTGGGCCTTTGTGTTTGGAAGCAGCATTTCAAAAAATTAGAATCGGGCTGTGTCTCGGCAGGGTTCTGATTTCCATTCCACTCGGTTTGACTCGGTTTATTCCTGAGTAGGACCAGACTGTATTTAACCAAAAGAAATTGATAAAGCTAGAAAGCTGGAGCCTCGGATGATTCTGGGGTTTTCAGGCATGGAATTGTCAACCTCTTAATCCGATTTGACACCCCTGCAGGTTGGTGGGGGGTGGGGGTGGTGGTTCCTGTATTGGACAGGCAATTTTTGCGTTACTGTTTTGAATGGCTTGGCCTATGTGTGCTTGGCTTGACCCCAGCCTACAGGTTTAATGGAATGGGATTGGGCATAGACTAAGGCTGTGTTGATATCTTAAAAAGGGAATTTTTTGACAATGAGAGGATGTAGGATTCAAATCAAGGGTGTTTCAGTCTTCTATAAGCCTTCACCTTTTTTTTTTTGGTTAACCATCATGGCTTTTATTGAGTAATAGAAAAGAAAAGATTTATCTGCTTGCTTATGGCTTCAAATGTCAATTATTATAAAAGGAATGCCTATTTTTATCCAAGTTAAACTGCAATTTTTTTTTTCAACTTACTGTAAGGAAAGTGGTCTACATGCAAATGTTGCCTTGATGTCAAAAAACCACTATGCATACCATTTTTTGATAGTTGTAGACTCTAGAAAGCACTCGTTTTGCCTTGAATGCATTCACAAGTTCACAAGTCTTAAAAATTGAACTAGAATATGTACTTTTTCTTTCTTTTGTATTTGTCTCGTAGCTTTGCATTCAATTGAATTTTGAGTTGTAACTCTTTCACATTCTTAAAGGAAAAGGGTGAGGAATCTTCAATCGCATAAATTTAAAAAAGAAAAAGAAAAAAGTGTAGCTCAGTGGTCCCTCACCCAACATTTGAGGTGCCTATCGTCACCAAGCTTTGGTTAATGGTAGACCAGCATGTACTTCCGGCGAAACCAGCTTCATCACCAACCCACCTAACATTGGGCCCTGCATCTGAAAATATATTTATAGATCCTTGGAGCTCTTTCACCATAGAGAACCAATCCTTAAAGAAATAAGTCATATTGGCTGCATCTGCACCCTTTGCCCCATCAAACCATATCTCTGATATGCTCCCATATCTAATCATTCACCCACAAACACAAAGATTCCTTTCTTGGTCAGTTCTCAATCAAGATTTTTTATTAGTAAGAAATTTGGTCACTTTATATGTGGCATTTGGTGGACCCCATTCCTTTTCTAGTGGGATCAAACCTCTTGGCCTAGTGGTTAAGGCTCATGGGATAAGAATTACCAGAAAAAGAAAAAGAAAAAGAGGAATAAAAAGAGTTTTGAGGGAGGAGCACTATGGTCTTTTATTTGAAACCCACTTAACCCAACCTCATCTCATGAAATGTTCGAAAGGGGTTAGCTTTTCAATTTGACATGGTCTCATGCATCATATATTAGTCACTTTTCCCATCCTACCTAATTTTCTTTTGGGGTTGTGGACAAAAGACTAATGCCTTCCTACACAAAGCTCACAAGCTATCAGATGTAAAATCATACAGCTGGGATGTCATTTCGGTTGCAATTCCCCAGGCTATCGGATGTTAAGTCAGATAGCTGGGGTGTGTCATTTCTCTTCCCAAAGTCAAAGGAATTTTTTTTGGCTTGGTGTGTAACTAATGGTATGTTCCAGCTTCCCAATTTCTCAATTGATAGTTAGTGCTTTGTTATAAGATCATGATAGTTAGTGTTTTGCTGCAAGATCACAATCACTCATAGCCATCTCATATAAAATCAATCGGGTAGAGTGTTTTACAAAAAAATAAAAAATAAAATAAAAAATTCTTTGGACTTTAAGCATGATTGATATCATTTAACAGTTAAGGGCAATTGTGATGTTGTATCAAAAGTAAATAATCATATTGCATATTTCCCCTCATTCCATACTTTGCCATTCTTAGTAAATATGTTGGCTTTTGTTGTGTACTACTCCCTTATTCTCTACTTTCCCTATTCTTATCATAAATAAGTTCGGGAAAAGTATACCGTATGTAATGGCAACTTTTCCATAATTTGTTTACCTTCAGTTTGTCTAGTATATAACATGTAATATGCTGTTTATATCAATGATATAAACATCCCTGAACCGATTTGGAATCACTTAGAGTGCGTTCGAACTCAGGCCCTAGATTCTTTACAGAGTCACCCAAAACCTAGGGTCCTTGTTACTGTCCCTAAAAAATGGCCTAGTCGGACTTCTGACACAGCCAATTCTCTATGGACTTGAGCGCCTGCTGAGTCCAAACCCATGTCTACATTTTCAAATATAAATTTTTATACTGATCCCCGTTGCTATATGTTATTGCAAAGAGATGGTAGAGACCAGCATGCTACATACAAAACAACCAATAGTGTGGTACCATAAATTTTTCATGTCCAAAGGACAATGAGCGTGGAAAGCAAACGGACCAGGATTTTATAAAAAGGGCAAAGAAAAAGTTAGTGCGTTTTTCACGTAATTTGTCCGAGAATGGTTTGATAGGGCTGCATCTTTATCGTATTGTACAGTGTCACCTCATAACTCATCAAAAATTGCAATGCAAGTGTGGAACAACCTTTAAATCGATCATCTCAACTTGAACATTATGGTTGTGCAAAAAAATTAGGATTTTAAAATCTAAAAATAGTGTATATAGCAACAAATAATCTTGACCATCCAATTCGTCCAAAAAATAAATGCTTACAAATCCACAAGATCTGTATCAATTTTTGAGTTTTAAGTTTTATTGCCGGTGTTGAAATTAATTTTAAAGAATTTTTGAGTTTCAAATTTTATTGTCAGTGTTGAAAATTAATTTTAGAGCCATCATAAAGATTCCTAATACCGAAAGTGCTTTTTGGATGAGCATTTGAGGTGAGGCTTTATTTTGTTTTCGCCCTATCGAAACTTCATCCTAACTTTTGTTATTCGGCGTACTTCTCTTCTTTTTTTTTTCCCCTTACTTTTCAAATCCTCTTTTTCTTTTTACCCATTGGTGAAGAACAAACAAAACATCATATCACCCAAAAAAAAAAAAAAAACCCCCAAATGTCTATTGGTCATTATAACTAACCATTACGTCGCTAGCTAATCAAATTATGCTTATAAAATAAACTTATCAAATTCCTTTTATTTTTTCTTTTTCCCCATAGGTGAAGAACAAACAAACCATCATACCACCAAAAACAAACAAAAAAAAAAGTCCCCCCAAATTTCTATCGGTCATGATAACTTACCATTATGTCGCTAACGAATCAAATTATGCTCATAAAATAAAATTATACTATCAACTAAAAGAAATGAACATGAAATTAAGTCCTATACCTTCTTAGCAATTCCTGTAGCTGGCCCAAATAAAACTCATTATAAGGCAAGTCGCGCCCATAAGTGTGCTCGTGCCGATCCCATGGCGAGAGGTACAAGCCCACATCCAAGCCCTGGGCTCGAGCCGAGTCCACAAACTCATGGACCACATCCCCTGTTCCATTCTTCCATGGACTGAATTTCACGGAGTGATCTGTGTATTTTGAGGGCCATAAGCAGAAGCCATCATGGTGCTTAGCGGTGAGTATGACGAGAGAGAAGCCCGAGTCCTTGGCTACTCGAGCCCATTGGCTTGTGTCGAGAGAGGTTGGCGCGAAGGTGGTTGGGCTTTCGTGCCCTGTTCCCCACTCTGAGTCTGTGAAGGTGTTCATGCCAAAGTGCATGAACATTATGAGCTCTCTCTGTTGCCATTTGAGTTGGGCTGAATTGGGAAGTGGGAGGAGAGGTAAAGGGGGTGGCAATGGGTGGCTATTGGAGACTTGGAAG